TAAAAGAAGTCACATGTTTTCATGTATTTTCATATGTCCTCTTGGCAGCTTATGAATCTACATCTCATAGCTTTTCATTCAGCAAAGTTCTCCAGATATTACATTAGTTTTAGTGATTCAGTGATCAGTGCATTGGAAAAAAAACAAGCCACATGTTTTCATGTATTTTCATATAATATCCTCTTGGCAGCTTATGAATCTACATCTCATAGCCTGCCTTTCATTCAGCAAAGGTGTCCAGTTATTACCTGATCCGTCCGCCCTTTGGTACTTATGCTGAAGTCTAAAGCAAGCATAGCAGATAAAAGGACTGTGAAAAAGTTTGCCTTGCAATCTGAGAACTGTGTAGCATTCAGTCTCCAACCTACATATTTTTTCGCATCTCTGAATATGTCTATCTTTTCAATTTCATTTCTGTTTTGATAGTACAATGGAGGATTCATTTAATAGCCAGCTAATTGCAATACCTCCACCATCTAATGGATGATGTTTTGCTGTTTTTTATTCAGATAGTGAACCATGGTAATAGGCCGCCGATTTCTCAAGGTCAGGCGCTGATTCTCGTCCTCCGCTAAAGTAGCCTTGCACCGACCCATTCTTGAACGACGCCTCTGCTTAGCGCCTCTCATCCCCAGACATCACGCCAACTAGCAGGCCAGAGGTACGTCCCCAGAGAAGCTGCTGGCAAAGTATGGATGCATTAGATTTGTACTTTTCTATTGTTGATACATATGAAGGTATTTTAACACAATCTATCTATTTAATCAATAGACTTCATTCAGTAAGCTACTCATAATTATTCTGTTCGGCTGGTTGTTTCAGAGCATTGGCGGTAGTGTGTGGTTGTTCTCTGTCTTACAAAATAGTGTGCATACAGCAGCAGCCGGCTAGCTTTTAGTTACGGACAATGGGTTGATATTCTGCTTTATGGCAACAGAACATAACTACAGAGCTCTACTAAACTTGGAATCTTCATGTCCTGTGAACGCACCGACCTTATGGCTTATGATGTCTTTTTTTATGTTATTGTTGGTGCTTGTGCCACGATGAGAACATATCTGCAGCATCTTTAATTTGTTCTTTCCAAGCCCCTTCTACAGTGACAAGTCAATAACACAAAACGTTCGTGGAATCTTCAGTCCAACTCTCTGCGTGCGCGGCTGCTGGGGACCGGCGAGGAGGATTGCCGCGTCGCGCTCCGCCATCGTCGCGCTCGTCGTCTTGCTTCGCCGTCGTCGCGCTCGTGGTCTCGCTGTGCCTCGCCCTCACCCTCTCGATGGTGCGTGTGCTGCTGGGCTTGGCGACGTGGGCTGCCGCGGCAGCGCTCACCGTTGCCGCTGTTTCTTCCTCCTCACTCTTCGTCTTCGTCGCCCATTGCCACTGCCGCCGCCGCCGCCCTCGTGGAAGCGCTGCCGCACCTTCCCCGCACCCGAGCCCGACGCCGCAGCGGAGGAGCCGCCCGAGCCGACGCACCGCCGAGGACGAGGAGCCCCGGAGCCGGCGATGAGACCCCTCCCGTCCCACGGGTCTCATCTTCCCCGAGACCGGCGGACCCGAGTCCAGCGCCGCCGCTGTGGAGCACGAGTCCGTGTCTGCCGTCGACCACGGCCGGCTGCCCGGCCTCGCGCTCTCCACGTTTGCCGTCGACCCCGGCCGTCCGCCCAGCTGGAGCAAGGTCCTCGCGCCGCCACTACCATTGGCTCTTCTGGAACGACGCGATGGGTCGCTGCTGCTAGTTACTTGCTGCTGGATTTAACCTTGATTACTATACTAGTACGTATCAACGTAGGAGGAATCAAGTTTCTGTGTTTGCAAATAATCGATGTGCTTTGTGATCACTAATTGCTCGTGTTTTATTTTAGTTGCTGCAGGACAGAGATTGAATGCATCTGTTCCGATATAGTTTAGTTTAGATATAATTTTGAAGGGTCACATAGTTTACATGGCATATTAGATCACAACATCTTGCATACATTAAGTGTTGCAACTTGTTTTGGAAACAGTAAAATGAAACCTGCAATGAGAGAGCTAGTTTTATTTCTCAAATCAAATTTGTAGAGCTGACATGGCAATCTTGTAAACTGAAAAATGAAACTCTTCATTGAGACTGGCAATACTGTAAGACACGGATCACACGTTAAGATAACAATACTGTAAGACATTAAACTGATATTGAATCCAAAAAAGCAAATTTATACTATTTGTATACCAAATTGTGGGTCAATTTTTATGCTACTTCACCGAATTGTTATACATACATCTAAATTTGTTATACATATATATTAGAGTTATAAATTTATATTGTTATATATATAAATTTGTTATACATACATATTAGAGAGTTATAAATTTGTATTGTTATATATATATTTGTTATACATATTAGTGTTAGGAGTATGTCCTAGAGATGATTATATTGCCTTGTATCCATGATATATTATGAGTTCATTGAATTTCCATTAAAGACAACCTGTATCGATTAGCAATTATGTGAATTGTTTGTGAAACTCTTTTACTTGAATGGTTATTCTAATGTTGTCCCTGGTCAGAGTTCGTGTGAGGACACACATGAATAATGGATCTGCACATTATTAGTTGATGACTATGTTTCACAAGTCATAGACATGGAGATGTCAAACTAATAATATGGGCACATGTATGACATGGGGCTGGACTGACCCAACGTGAGATGTCGTTATTATCTCTATTCACATCATGTACGTTATGTCCTTAGACCTGAGATTGTTGTATGTATTCAGGATGTGAAACGATCTACTCAGGGACTATCAAACGCTACTCCGTAACATGGTAGTTATAAAGGTTGTTTTCGGGTTTCTCGCGAAACATGCTATGAGACATAGACAATCAAGATGGAATTTGCCCCTCTCTATATATGAGAGAGATATCACTTGATCACTCTAATGATTAGATCAAGAAATGCATGGCCGTGCTTGGGTTAAGTGTTAACCTATGAGTTGGACCAAATATCGTGAGGCAAGGGAATAACAAGTATGTGGTTTTGTGGTGGTTCGTCTGATATGATCTTTGCGTACGCATAGGAGTTGACATGCCTTGCTAGAGGCCGCTATCAACTAATGGCCGAGTAGGAGTACTCGGGCCATGTCTATGTGTGCGTAAACCCATAGGGTCGCACGCTTAAGGGGCTGGAAGCCTAGTTCGGATTGGATCCGAATTAGACAAGGCTTAGGGTTACTAATGGGCCTCCAACTCGGGAGATCATTAGGGATGCCTATAAATATGTGGGGTGGGGCAACGGGGCAAATCAATCTATGCCTTTTGGCAGCCGCCGCTGCCCATCCTACGCCCGCACCTGCTGCTCCTCGCGGACGTAGCAGTCCGGAGGTGCAACGCTTCCTCCCTGTACGTGTGGATACCTCGGAGGTGCAGCATCTAGAGCACAAGGACGAACCGCACAAAGGGGACGGATGAACAGACGACCTCACAACTGCATGGCACTGCTACGACGCGTTCGACTACATCGAGTCGCTTCCGCTACATCTGCGCATTTAGTGGTAATCCCGTGATCTATAACTAGCAGTAGATCTTGGTTTATGAGGTCGAAATTTTGTTTTTCGGCTAGCGTAGCATCCTCATAACCCTTCAGTGGTATCAGAGCCGTTCCTACGTCATTATAGGTTCGGATGAGTGCGTATGGAGATATGCGCGGTTGTAGATGAGTCTCTGATCATGGTTCGTGATTTTACCGTGTTGGTCTTGTAACGATCTACTCGTACCGGTCGAAATTCCGCCATCCAAGTTAAGTGATACAAGTAAATCCAGTCATGGCAAGATGGAGATCAATCAGATTGATCGAATCGAGCCTAGGTTAAGTGCCGAGCGCAAGTGATGCACAACGGTGATAGATTGGATCTACTGCCGGGCGCCGGGGTGCAAGAAAAAATGCTATTCGGTAAAACAACCATAACTTTTGCATACGACCTCGGATTGAGACGAATTCTATATGAAAATTGTAGAGAAAAAAAATTTACATCCGATTCTCACCCGCTTTGCCGGTTTCGCTGAAATTAGATTTGCGAAAAATGGCTGGAAAGATGGTGTTTTCGGCGTTTTAAGATTAGACGTCGGAATCGATTAACTCTGTTTTGCAGGAATTTGTGACTGGTATAGCCCTTATGTGTATGTGATGCATGTATGTAATTAATTCATGGCTTGCATGTCGTGAGTATGACAATATGGCTGGAGCCACTAAGATATTGTCAAATTGATGTAATGGCCTGCGTGCCAAACTGTGATGATCCTATCCGCGACTATGTAATCTTCTTCACTGCCTTGCGTTAGTGATAGCTAGTCTTGGTGGACTCATCACTGAAGGATGGCATACATGGATCATGGAGATGGAGATCATCATGAGGAATAGTTCAATGGAGATGGAGATCCCCAAAGGAACATTGGGCTATACCATGTCATATCTCTGTGTTAATGCTGTTCTTACTATATTCTACTTTCACGTGCGATAATGTTTTTTGTCTACATGCGATGGTGAAGTAGAACGATCCCTCGGCAATGTTTAAGTTAAAATGCTTCCCCAAACCTTGCACTGTCAGGTGTCTTGTACAATCGGTGGTGGGTCTATGAAATTAGGGTGCCACTGGTTTTCCTTGACTAGACATGTTCATATCGGATACTTACAGCAGAAGGGTTGGTTACTTAAACAAGGTCATCCTAACGGTTAGGGACCTTGGAGCATGAGTAGTTGGGCACCAAAGCATAGAGATGCTACCCAACAACAAGAGTCATATGTGATATGATTAGCAAAGAGTTGCTTACTAATCTACCATGTCTTCTAGCGGTGATGCTAAAGCTCACTAGTAGACTTGTTAGTTGTGGATCTTGAATCACTAAGTTTCAATAGAGGGATATTGATTTTAGTGGGAGTAGATTATATTAAAGTTTTAATATTGTTTACTCTATCTTGGATACATTGTCTTAGTATTTTGCATTACTTTTGTTGTAGATAAATGGCACCTAGCAATCAACCATTTACTTTGCGTTCAATTCTTGAGAAAGATAAGTTGAATGGAACAAACTATGCGGATTGGATCTGCAACCTGAGAATTGTTCTCAGGGCTGAGAAAAAGGAAGAAATTCTAGACACCCCATTACCAGATGAGCCTGCTGATAATGCACCTGCTACAGAGAAAAACACTTACAAGAAAGCATGTGATGCTGATCTTGAAGTGAGTTGCCTTATGCTTGCTTGTATGGAACCAGATCTGCAGTTGTAGTTTGACAATAACCATGCAGCGCACGATATGATCGTGGCGCTCAATGATATGTTCCAGACTCAAGCCAGGACTGAAAGGTTCAATGTATCAAAGGCTTTTGCTGAAACCAAGCTAGCAGAGGGCGCAATAGTTGGGCCACATGTGATCAAAATGGTTGGTTACACTCAGAGGTTGGAGAAGCTGGGCTTCCCAATTGGCCCTGAATTAGCTACTGATTTTATTCTCGCGTCTCTTCCGCCCAGCTATGGAAATTTCGTCGTGAACTACCATATGCATGGGGCGGAGAAGGGCTTGAATGAATTATGTGGCATGCTTAAAACAACAGAGGCTAATATCAAGAAAGGTGCTGGCAGTAGCCATGTGATGGCGGTCCAAAACAAGCCTAAGTTTAAGAAGAAGGGCAATTCTTGGAAGAAGAAAAAGGGCAAGGCTAAAGATGAGATCTCTAAGCCAAACCCACCTGCGCCCAAGGCTGGACCACCTGCTGATGCTGAGTGCTTTCATTGTCATGGGAAAGGTCACTGGAAGAGGAACTGCAAGATGTACCTAGAATCCATAAAGGATCGCGGCAGTAAAGGTACTCCCGCAGCTTGTACACTTGTTGTTTATGTTACAGACATTTTCCTTGCTAATTCTTATATTAATTCTTGGGTATTTGATACCAGATCGGTTGCTCATATTTGCAATATGATGCAGGGAATGATAAGAAGTAGAAGCGTGGAAAAGGGAGAAGTTGATTTCCGCATGGGCAATAATGCAAGAGTTGCTGCGTTGAACGTCGGGACGATGCAACTCCACCTCCCGTCATGATTTATTTTGGAGTTGAATAATTGTTATTTTGTTCCTAGTCTAAGTCGAAACATTGTGTCACCTTCATGTTTGATGAAGGATGGTTCTTCATTTGCGAGTAAAGACAATGGTTGTGTGATCTCTAAAAATGACATGTTTGTGGCTTCTGCATCCATTGTGAATGGGTTATTTATTTTAAATCTTGAAGATGCTCCTGTCTGTAATATAAGTGCTAAAAGGCCTCAGCTTAATGAGTTAAGTCCTACCTATATGTGGCATTGTCGTTTAGGTCATATAAGTGAGAATCGCATGAAGAGGCTCCATTCTGATGGGCGTTTAACTTCGTTTGATTTTGAATCATACAAGACATGTGAGGCTTGCCTACTGGGCAAGATGACCAAGACGCCTTTCACAGGTTTTCCTGAGAGGGCGGTAGACTTGCTGGAACTCATACATACTGATGTATGCGGACCAATGAGTACAACAGCAAGAGGCGGATTCCAATACTTCATAACCTTCACTGATGACTTTAGTAGATATGGCTATGTCTACTTAATGAAACATAAGTCTGAGACATTTGAAAAGTTCAAGGAGTTTCAGAGTGAAGTAGAGAATCAACGTGGCAAGAAAATTAAGGCTTTGCGATCTGATCGTGGAGGCGAATATTTGACCCACGAGTTTAGCAATCGTCTAAAGAGTTGCGGAATTGTTCCACAGCTTACGCCACCTAGAACGCCTCAGAGAAATGGCGTGTCCGAGCGACGTAATCGGACTTTGTTGGACATGGTTCGGTCTATGATGAGCCAGTCATACCTACCGTTATCATTTTGGGGATACACTCTAGAAACAGCCGCTTTCACATTGAATAGGGTACCATCTAAGTCAGTAGTTAAGACACCACATGAGATGTGGACTGGTAAGAGTCCCAGTTTGTCTTTTCTGAAAATTTGGGGTTGTGAAGTTTATGTCAAACGACTTATGATAGATAAACTAACACCCAAATCAGACAAATGCTTTTTCGTGGGATATCCGAAGGAAACTCTAGGGTATTACTTCTACAACCGATCAGAGGGCAAAGTGTTTGTTTCTCGGAACGATGTTTTCTTAGAGAAAGAGTTTCTCAAAAGAGAGAAAAGTGGACAGAAGGTGTATCTTGAAGAAGTTCAAGATAAGCCAGTTGGGAAGGACTCTACGAGTGATGCTAATGTAGCAGAACAAGTTGAGATATCCGTGGCAATAGAAACACCGCCACAACCACGAAGGTCAGCAAGAATCCATGAGTTGTGTGGGGATTTGTTATTGTTAGATGATGACGAACCTGCGACTTATGCGGAAGCTATGATGGACCCAGATTCTGAGAAATGGCAAAGTGCCATGAGATCCGAGATAGATTCCATGGGAAACAATCAAGTTTGGAACTTGGTTGACCCGCCTGATGGGGTTAGACCCATAGAGTGCAAATGGATCTATAAAAAGAAAAAGGATATGGATGGAAACGTTCACATCTATAAAGCTCGACTTGTTGCAAAGGGTTTTCGGCAAGTTCAAGGAATTGACTACGACGAGACTTTCTCGCCGGTAGCGATGCTTAAATCTATCCGGATCATTCTAGCAATAGCTGCTTATTTCGATTATGAGATATGGCAGATGGATGTTAAAACAGCCTTTCTAAATGGAAATTTGGATGAGGACGTGTATATGATATAGCCCAAAGGTTTTGTTGATCCAAACAATGTTGGAAAAATATGCAAGCTTCAGAAATCCATTTATGGGTTAAAGCAAGCATCTTAGAGTTGGAACATTCATTTTGATGAAGTGGTCAAAGGGTTTGGCTTCCGTCAGAATGAAGAAGAACCTTGTGTTTACAAGAAAGAAAGTGGGAGCGCTGTTGTATTTCTGGTCTTGTATGTGGATGACATATTATTGATTGGGAATGACATTCCTATGTTGCAATCCATAAAGACTTCACTGCATAATAGTTTTTCTATGAAGGATTTAGGAGAAGCAGCATATATTTTGGGCATCAAGATCTATAGAGATAGATCGAAGAGTCTTATAGGATTAAGCCAAGATACGTACATTGACAAGGTGTTGAAACGATTCAACACGGAGCAGTCCAAGAAAGGGTTCTTGCCTATGTCACATGGTATGCGCTTTAGCGATAAATAGTGTCCTTCGACAACTGATGAGCAGAAGCGCATGAGTAAGGTTCCATATGCCTCGGCAGTTGGTTCCATCATGTACGCCATGATATGTACTCGCCCAGATGTCTCATATGCTCTAAGTGTTGCGAGCAGGTACCAAGCTGATCCAGGAGAGAGTCACTGGACACTTGTTAAAAACATTCTTAAGTACTTGAGAAGGACTAAAGATGTGTTCCTATTCTATGGAGGTGAGGAGGAGCTCGTTGTAAATGGTTACACCGATGCTAGCTTCCAAACTGACACAGATGATTCACAGTCTCAATCAGGTTTTGTGTTCACAATAAATGGTTGTGTTGTAAGTTGGAAAAGTTCCAAGTAGGAGACGGTGACTGATTCTACATCAGAGGTCGAGTACATTGCAGCTTCTGGAGCTGTGAAGGAAGGTGTTTGGATGAGGAGGTTCCTCATTGAACTTGGTGTGTTTCCAAATGCACCCAGCCCATTGAATCTACATTGTGACAACAATGGGGCAATTGCGCAGGCTAAGGAGCCAAGCAATCACAAAAAGAGCAAACATGTACTGCGGAAATTTCACCTCATTCGAGAGTTCGTTAGACAAGATGAGATCAAGATGTGCAAGATACACACAGATTTGAATGTTGCAAATCCTTTGACAAAGGCTCTTCCACAGCCTAAGCACGAGGCGCACATAAGAGCTATGGGTATTAGATATATTCGAGATTAACTCTAGTGCAAGTGGGAGACTATTAGGAGTATGCCCTAGAGATAATCATAGAGATGATTATATTGCCTTGTATCCATGATATATTATGAGTTCATTGAATTCCATTAAAGACAACCTGTATCGATTAGCAATTATGTGAATTGTTTGTGAAACTCTTTTACTTGAATGGTTATTCTAATGTTGTCCCTGGTTAGAGTTCGTGTGAGGACACACATGAATAATGGATCAGCACATTATTAGTTGATGACTATGTTTCACAAGTCATAGACATGGAGATGTCAAACTAATAATGTGGGCACATGTATGACATGGGGCTGGACTGACCCAATGTGAGATGTCGTTATTATCTCTATTCACATCATGTACGTTATGTCCTTAGACCTAAAATTGTTGTACGTATTCAAGATGTGAAACGATCTACTCAGGGACTATCAAACGCTACTCCGTAACAGGGTAGTTATAAAGGTGGTTTTCGGGTTTGTCGGGAAACATGCTATGAGACATAGACAATCAAGATGGAATTTGCCCCTCTCTATATATGAGAGAGATATCACTGGATCACTCTAATGATTAGATCAAGAAATGCATGGCCGTGCTTGGGTTAAGTGTTAACCTATGAGTTGGACCAAATATCGTGAGGCAAGGGAATAATAAGTATGTGGTTTTGTGGTGGTTCATCTGATATGATCTTTGTGTACGCATAGGAGTTGACATGCCTTGCTAGAGGCCGCTATCAACTAATGGCCGAGTAGGAGTACTCGGGCCATGTCTATGTGTGCGTGAACCCATAGGGTCGCACGCTTAAGGGGCTGGAAGCCTAGTTCGGATTGGATCCGAATTAGACAAGGCCTAGGGTTACTGATGGGCCTCCAACTCAGGAGATCATTAGGGATGCCTATAAATATGTGGGGTGGGGCAACAGGGCAAATCAATCCACGCCTTTTGGCAGCCACCGTGGCCAATCCTACGCCCGCACCTGCTGCTCCTCGTGGACGTAGCAGTCCGGAGGTGCAACGCTTCCTCCCTGTACGTTTGGATACCTCGGAGGTGCAGCATCTGGAGCACAAGGACGAACCGCACAAAGGGGACGGACGAACAGACGACCTCACAACTGCATGTCACTGCTACGATGCGTTCGACTACATCGAGTCGCTTCCGCTACATCTGCGCATTTAGTGGTAATCCCGTGATCTATAACTAGCAGTAGATCTTGGTTTATGAGGTCGAAATTTTGTTTTCTGGCTAGCGTAGCATCCTCATAACCCTTCAATTAGAGAGTTTTAAATTTATATTGTTATATATATAAATTTGTTATATATATCACTTGCCAATAAATATTTCTAGAAAATAAGAAATCAAAGTTATGCTTTGGAGACTTGAATTTCGAGTGTAGTTATTTAATTAATTTTAAGCACATGACGCGATCCATTTTATAGATATATGGTTTTTATTTTTTATAGATATATCTAGTAGTGTAAAAGCTAGATGGCTGCCCCGAGAGACAACATGGATGAACAAATGATGGATATTATCAACACCGGCACTCAATTTGCCGATGGTGACCAGCAAGATGTAGATGACGGGAGTCAATACCTGGCTCTTGAAAATAACCAAGAAAATATTGTGCAAGAAAATATTGGCGAGGTATATATATTTATATATATATTTGAATATTATATATATATTTGAATATCTATCATCTATTATGTGTACACATGATATTTATTTATTCTTTTTTATACGTAGCCCTCCGGATCGACGACCACAACGGTGAAAAGCAAAAATATTCGAGGCCCGAAAAAGCCATTGGAGGGGTGCTACATAATATCGGAATTCAATATCGAGATAGGCGAACCACTTGGTCCACATGCAAGGAAATTCGTGCAACACTGTGGGTATCTTGTAAGGGACAGACTTCCGATCAGTGCCCGTGAATGGAAGCAAAAGATCAACGAGCCTCATGTTAGTTTTGTCTCTGATCTTGATAAGAATTTAATTTGGGATGATATCCTTCAACATTTCACGTTGCAAGCGGATGATTATGATGATATCAACGATGCTGAATTGAAGGAGCTAGTTTGAAAGTGGGCTATGAAGAAGATGGCCACACAATTCTAGACTTGGAAGAAATCCCTATACACAAAATACGTCAAGAAGAACCTAACGCCCAATTTCAATACTAGGGGCCCGCTCGCGAAGTTGAGGCCCTACTGGAATGATTTTGTACAGTACAAGACATCGGAAGAGGGTGAGGAACAGGTGAGAAGGAACCAAGAGAATGCCCGACAGAAGGTATACCACCATGGCATGAGATCAGGTGGCTATGCGACTGCCATTCCCAAGTGGGAAAAAATGGAAGCAGGCATTCTTGCCAAGGGTATCACACCAGAATCACTCAATTGGCCCAAACGCGCGAAGAATTGGTTTTTCACTCATGGGGGAAGACTAGACCTAGAGACCGGGAAGCTGGTTCATGGCCCAAAACTCGAAAGAGCAACACAAAGATTTTCTTATGCTCTACAAGCTAAAGCTATTGGTGCGTTCAGGCCCAATAGAGAGAAGGATGAACTGACGTATGCCATCGGGACTGCTGAACACAGTGGCCGAACGAGAGGTTTAGGACGGAATATTTCTTGGGAGCATGGTTTCCCTAACAACAGAGATACCTATAGAAGCCGGCAGAGAAGGAAGGATGAGGAAGCAGCACAGATCAGCAGGTTGGAGGAATATGTTCGTGAGTCACGGGAGGCGTTGCTTCAAGCACAGGAGCGCAAAAAAGGCATGCAAGCTAGAATGTAGGACGAAATCATAAAGCAAGTGCAAATAGCAATGAGTGCCCAAAGGCAGGCATCAGATGTAGGAATCAACATTAATATTAGCCCCCCTGATCAGTTGAAAAGCAGCTGCGCTTCCACGGAGTTGCCAAATCAAGATGACGCAATGCTACGTTTCCTCGTGGATGACATCACTGCACCGTTTACATCATGTGAGCTACATATTCCAAAAGGGAATGCCACAATCATGGTGGCTCTCGGTGTTTTTTCTCCTCCAGATCCTACCAAGACACCAAGAATCCATGGGGCAATAATACCACCTGGATATGTTACACTAGTAGAGAAACGACCTTTGATCCCACCTCGAAATTTGGCTTTAGTCCTGGTATTTTGCGCGGTCGGGACTAGAGAGACCTTTAGTCCTAGTTTGTAGCTCCAACCGGGACTAAAGGTCCCTGCCCAATGGCTACTGCGGCAGGCTTTTGCTGCTGTGGACCTTTAGTCCCGGTTTGTACATCCAACCAGGACTAAAGGTTCACTTTTACTCCCGGTTTGTACCTCCAACCGGGAGTAAAAGTCTACTCCCGGCTGGAGGTTCCGTCCGAGACTAGAAAAGGACATTTAGTCCCGGTTTCTGTCTACAACCGGGACTAAAGGTCCCCTCCTATATACCTCTTGTTCCTCCCAAAGCCCGAGCCACTTCGAGCTCAGTGTTCTTGCTTCATCGCCGGCCTCTCTTCTTCCTCATCACCGGTGATCACAAGATTTCTTCCATTCCTCCATCGATTCCTCGGTTCTAAAGGTTACCAACTTTATATTCTCATGTTTCATCAGTAGCTTATTTCATTTTGTGGACTAGATATATGTGGTTTTTTATGGTAGATTTTTTTATTTGTAAGCCATTTAAGCTCAAAATCATTTTAAAGTTTGCATATTTGGATGAATGAAGGTTAAAGTAGTTATTCAAAACTAGTATTGAGCTTTCATTTCTAGCATGCATAGCCCACTTCATGCTTTAGAGATATAGAGAATTTTAGAGTTTTTTTTAATTTTATTTGTTTATAAAATGAGAAATTTATATTATATTAAAAATGAGTATAGAGAGTAGATGGCAACTGCTTTCGGGTCCTCGGCCTCTCATCGGGTTACAAAGCGACTGAGGCCGGACCTCCCTCTCATTGCATGCGGCAAGTGTGAGGAGAAGATTGTCGAGTACCGGGTGAGGAAGGAGTGTTCCAACAAGGGCCGTATCTTCTACAAGTGTCCGGATCGCAATGTGAGTTATTTTATCGCATTTGATGATTATGGTTAATTTATACTTATTTTCATGATGATTGTGATTAAAGTTCTAATTTTTTGTTTTAATTTTAGTGGGATGGCACTGGATGTTCAGGCTGGTACTGGGAGGAAGAGTATGTTGAACATGTGCAGAACTCTCTTGCACAGGTGGCTACGGTGGCTGATGAGGCAGTGATCCTACGGAAGAAGCCCATAGATGTTGAACAAACGCATGATCTGTCTGTTTTAGTTGGGATTGGTCGTGAAATCATTATGCTGCTGAAGTGCATTTTAGCTTTAGTTTTTTTAGTGGTAGTTGGGATTGTCTACATTGTAGCGAGACTTTCATAAATTAATACCTTGTGTGGTGGCATGCATGTCATATAATTAACTAATTATGTTCTAGGTTTTAATATGGTATGTATGTCATATAATGCAGATGAGCCAGCATTGGATGTACAATGCTGATCGCCGATCCCAAGAGTTCATTGAGGGTGGGCATTCTTTCTTACGTGTGGCCGAGGCAAACAAACGCGATGGTTTCATGTGCTGCCCATGTGCCATATGTAAGAATTTGAAGGAATATGCTAGCTCAAGGAGTCTTCATTCACACTTGTTGAAGTCGGGTTTCATGCCAAACTATATTTGTTGGACGAAGCACGGAGAAACCGGAGTTGTAATGGAAGAAGTGAAGAAGAACAATGGGACGATGATGACATTATTGCTAAATATGGGGACTTCAATGATACTGCAATGGGAGAAGTTGAAGAAGAGGTAGGGGCAGAAGATGAGCCCACTGATGATCTTGGTCAGGCCATTCATGACGCACAAAGAGAATGCGAAAGTGAAAAGGAGAAGATCAAGTTCGACCGCATGCTAGAGGATCACAAGAAATTGCTATACCCAATTTGTGATGCGGGACAGAAAAAGTTGGGTACCACACTGGAA